AACAAATGTGTAGCATTTGAAATATGCTTAAAAATCTGTTAATTTAAACTGATACATTTCAAACGATCTAAAACGTTTAAAACTACTTTTTTAATTACACTTGCACGTTTTTCGAAATTACTTAACTTCTGCTATAAATTACACCCCAAACCGTCTTCTTGGAGGCATTTTCGGAGCAAATTTTGCGTTGTTATTCAAATTTCAAATGCCTTATATTTGTTGCCAAAAATCAGAATTAAATTTTTATGTTATAGGTTTTGAAGACTGGTCTTCAACAATGAAAATTTCACTGGTCACCGATCAATGAAAGTAATAAATTACATTGATTTCATGAGAATCGTAAAAAATGGCAAAAATCGCGCCACGTTTATTTATTTTACGCCTTTATGAAAACTCAGTTTATTTATTGAACAGCTTTATAGAAACTGACTGCATTTGCGGCTGAATACAAAAATTGATTCTGATCACTCTGATCAAAAGATACCGATTTATTACCGTTGACTTAATACAAATTTTATTTAACATTGATTCCGCGCGTGGAATTAACATTCAAAATAGCCGGTCGCTTCAAGTGTTGTTTCTGAGAAAACAAAAGTTGTTGAGAGGGGAGAACTGTTTGACTCAAGTTGGCAATTCAGAATTATGTCTGTATTTTTTAATTTGTTGATTTCCATAGATTCTAATAAAGATAGCTTAAGGCCTTTATTTTGGAAAAGAATCATTATGGTCTAGAAGGTGAAGTGTGTACGTAGAATATGTTTTTCTTTATTTAAAGCTCTTTTATGTTCTGCTATATGTTTGAACACACAACAACTTCTTCCGAAGTTGTTGTGTGTTCTAAAAGCTGGTGTTTTTCCTTTCTTTTTGAAGTTATACTTCTATACGCACGTCGACGAATTATGAATTTCCTTTTTTATTTTTGAAATATTTAAAAACCTCACGTTAATCTTATTAAATATATGTAATATACGCAAAAATGCTAAATTTTAAAATAAAATGAAAATTACATTATATATACAAAATATACAAAACATAATCCGAGTTGTTGGTTTTTTATTTTTATCTTTGTTAAGTAAGTTATGTATATTGACAGTTTTAATTACGTTATGAATAAAACATTTTAATTAATATTCTATTATTATATTAAATTATGTTGCATTGTATTTATTGTATTGGAATTTTACTGCAGAGTATGTGTAAAAAAATTTTTTGCATTCAACTCCTTTTATACATATATGAAAATAAAATATATATTTTCATTAAAATATTGATACAATCCTTCATTTACTATACTCCTATTACAGGTCAAATGTTTATATACAGCAAACGATGCACCATATACCTATATAACTAATTATTTTTCTCTTTCTGCACTCTCTTACCTATAGCATTACATATGTAATGATTGTGCAGATTGACTCTCATATAAATTTGTAACGGCGAACGCGTGTATAAAAGTATAACTTCTACCGGCAGTCCCACTGGACTGCCACACCCGTTTTTTTATGTGTTTAGTTATTTTTGTTGATATCTTGCCTGTTGGTATATGTAATCGAGCAAAAGGTACTGTGATTTTCTCTGGTGGTGGAAATGCTAATTTCAGAGCGTTCTTATATAGTATTTGATATAAAATTTTATTTATTGTGTGTTCGTTGTACCCATTGTTTACTGCTATTTGCAATGATATTCAGTTCTATCTCGAAGTTATTTTTTGACCTTATATTAATCTATGTAACATTCTATGGTAGACAGCCAATTTATGTTGTGTAGCATGTGTTGATGAATAGTGGCACAGTGAATTAATATACGATAATAATTTATCAAGTTGTCTGTTAGTTCCTGTAAAACATACCAGTATATCATCTACCTATCTCCACCAATACAAAAACTGTTTAAATATGGGATGTTTTGAAATCTTTGTTTCTAGATGGTCCATAAAAATATCGAATAGCGATGGGCTTAGAGGATTACCCATTATAAGTCCTGCACTATTATTTGTATATATTTGATTATTAAATTCAAGTAGTAGTCCTGGTTTATGCAAATTTCAAGTATATGTAAAATTTCAGATAAAATGATTGGATTTGTAATATTATGATCTAAAGGGTCTTTTACTAGAACAAAATTTCTGTAGGAGGAATACTAGGAAAAAGGTTTTTAATGTCAATGAAATTAATTTTGTGTTGTTAGGTAATTGAAAATAAGGTTTTATTTTATTAACTAATTCTATTGTATTTTTACGGTAAATTCAGGTGAAAATTTAGTATGTTCTAAAATCATTTCTAACAATTTTTTGATAGAGTATATGACGGAGCTGTATAAAAAGAAACTACAGGTCTTAGTGGGTGATCAGGTTTATGTAGTTTAATAAAAAAGTATAATTTAGGAGGCTGTGGGTTCATGAGGTATTTCTTTCTATTGAACTTTGTAAGTTTGTTGGTTTTTAAGGGAAATAAGATCGTTTAAGTTATTTTTTAACCCCTTTTTTATAGGGTTGTAGTTGAAAGGGTTTGAACAAGTCACGAGTGTATGCAAACAGCCATATCTTAACTAACTTTTGTCCTAAAGAAAAACAAGAAAAACCAAAATGTTTAGAAAAGCAATAATTTTTTAATGTTCAAGATTTTCGTATCACTAGTATTTTTTTAGATGTTTTGAAAAAAGGCAGTTTTCTCAAAATTAAAAAAAAATTTACTTTAAAATTAAGGGGTGATCTTTTACCAAAAAAAAAGAGACCAACTATTTTTATAGAAATCTAAAAAAACTAAACTAATCCTTTTTTTAAACACAAAAGTTTTTATGAGTTTTTCCCACAAAATTTTTTTTTGGTTATTTCACGTTGCAATATTCGATTTGGAATTTGATAAATAAGAACCTACTTTTATTGAGCTACAACTCTGCTTCTAGTGGGTTTAGAAACTTCATAAGTACCTACACTATGTATTTTTTTGTTTGTTTTTATATACTTAGTTTTTGCTAAGTATAATTTTACGATAACATACTTACTTTTTGTGTTATTTGTGAAAAACGTGGTTTTTATTTTGAAAAATAAACATGTTCACTCGCAAATAACTCAAAAAGTTTTAACTAAGTAAAAAATCTCTTCAAGAACAAAAGTTTTATATAATTAGTCAATTTGCCCATTTCCGGATAAGGATAATGAAAGATGAAATCAAAGATATGAATAATCTTCATAGGAGATTTAAACGCGCAAATAGGCAAAGAAAATTGCTTTAGAGAGTTTGCACGTGCAAACTCATAACATGACACAACAAACAATAATGGAGGAAGATTATGTAATTTAGCAGCATTAAACATGGACATAAGTCCATTGGACATTACACATAGCACGAGATATAAACACAAAGACATACACAAAATAACATAGATGAGACCAGGAAGTCTGGAGGGCAATCAAATAGACAATTATGCACTGATTAAAAAGACACACAAACAATCGATAAATTACGTTAGATCTCATAGAGGGGCCAACATCGATTTGGACCATATGCTAGTGATAACAAAATGTAAAATAAAAAGCACAGAGAAAATGGGGCGTAGATAAATTGAAGCAGAAAGAAGTAGGACGAAGATTTGAACAAGAAGTAAATACAGAGATGCAGTTCAAAGAACAACAAATGAAAGAACAGTAAAAAATCAAATAAGTAATAAACAATGCAGCAGAGAAAGTGGTTGACAAAATACAAAATAAAAGAAGAAATAATTGGTTTGACGATGAGTGCAACTTAGCAGTGAAAGAAAAGAATAAAACAATATTAAAATGGTTAAGCACAAGCAAAGAAGAGGAACGTGAAAAATACAAAGATCGAAGGCAAAAGACAAAGAAAATATTTAAATCGAAAAAAAATCAAAAAGTAGAAGAAATTATGAACGAGATAGAAACAGAAATAAAAACACAACTGAAAACCATTGTACCAATACTTAAAACTAAGTAACCAAAAACGGACAGCTGATATAGCTATACAAGCAGAAATATGGCAGGAGTGTTTCGAAGACATATATCAAGAAACGGATAGAGGAGAAGAAAGAGAAACAATTACGAACATAGAACAATATGAAGAAGAAGAACGGGTGCATTTCAGCCCCTAAGTAAAAGCAACTTTGAGCTTAAGTCTAAAAGTGAAGTAAAGGGTAAGAGGAACTTAAATTCAAATTTTCAAGCAAATCCGCCATGACGAGGGAAAATATAATATATATGGATTTAAAAATACAAAAAAGTGATATTATAAGGCTTAGGGCCGATTGTTCGGACGCTAATCAAAACTTGATTGTAATCAAATATTTATTTACAATCAAATACGTCACAGCAGCTGTCAAATTGATTAAAAATTGCTTAACATTATTATTTATTTGTAAATAACAACATGAAATTAACATCAGAAAGAGTTTAATTATGGTTTATTTTAAATTAAAACGCAAAATAATAAAATTGAATAAAATAAATCAACATTCAACATAAGCTCAAAATGTGACGTATTTGATTTTAATTAAATACTTGATTACAATCAAGTATTAGGGAAAACGTAGACACATATATCAAAGCGTATATATTACAATTAACAAAATATATGGATACAATCATAGACAAAAATAAAAACGGTTCTTTGTTAAAAATTCAAAAAAGTCGCGCTAAAAAAATGTTGAAACGCAAGAGAACAAGAAGAATGACAAGTCAGAAAAATCATAAGTGGAAATGTAAATTTGTAAACAGAAAAACGTAAATAATAACAGAAAAAATAACAAGAACACACAAAAAAGAGAAGTGGAAATAGATAGTGTGGAACGTGAACTTGATAAAGGTGATGGTTTATAATGTTGATATTTATTATTGACGGATAAATATATAGTCAGTCACATATAGTTTACAGGCAAATGCCGTAATTTGTTCAATAAATGAATCCACAAAACTTTTCTAAAATATTTATCCATGCAATCTCACAAAAAAGATAAAAAAAACTATAAAAGAGAATAAATATAACCTGCGGAATTGCAGACAGATCTTGATATTTCCAGTCACACGTTCAAACTCAACTTGTCAAAATATTAAGTATACAGAATCCGAAAAAAGCACGTGTAGATCCTCTGTGAGTGGACCACCGCGCGTATCGTCAGGGAAATACGCGAACTCGAGGAAAACTGAGTGTTTTCCGTCTGTTCTGTAATATAGGTTACTACAGGAGTCGAGGTAGAGGTACAAGGCGTTATTTTGGAACGTGTTAACGTTATTTCGGAATCCTTGGACGTCTTTTTGGTACTCAACGAAGGCTCTATTTATATCGTAGTTTATTTTGTCAAGAAAGTAGTTATTGTATTGTTTATATGTTATAGTTAGTATGTTATGGAAGTTATGTTATAGAAAGTATGTTTAAACCGATTTTTTACAATTCTATACATCTTACGAGCATTCTCTTGGTTTTCGTCATCGTTAATACCAAATATATAAATAGTGCACTTGGTATGTATGTCGGTATAATATTATGCCAAGAGTAGTTTTTTGTTTTTTTTTATTATTTCAACATCTGTCGCTGTCTCCCTTCTCTCAACCATTTTCTCCATTCTTCTTTGTCCTCTCATTCTCCGTCTTCTAATCCTCTTCTTTCCATGGCTTCATCTACCTCATCTCTGAAAGATCTTCTTGGTCTGCCTCTTTTGCGTTTTTCTATGGGGCTCCACTCTGTTATTTTTGCTATCCATCGGTTTGGGTCTGTTCGTCTGACATGTCCGTACCGTTAATCTTTTTTCTTTAATGTAATTTAAGGTGTCTTTCTTTATCACTCGTCTTTTGATTTCGTCGTTAGTTATTTTGTTCATTCTATAAACTCTGCAGCTTATTCTCCAGTGGTCCATTCTGGCGTTTATTTTGTTTCTGCTGCTTTTGTTTAAAACCCAATTTTCTGCTCCATATGTTATAATGATCCATTTGATATAATGAACCCCAGATCCTTTGATTTGACCTGGTCAAATGCCATCTTAAGGTGCATGAAACATAGTGCTATAATTTGTTATCACTTTGGTTGTTAATTTTAGTGTTGTGTTTAATAAATCAATTCCTCTGTAATTTTCTGGGTACGATTCGTCTCCCTCTTTGAAGAGAGGTAATGGATGCTGGATCTCCATTTTTGAGGAATTTAGTATTGTTCTATTATTTTTTGGATTAGTTTTATTAGTTAATTGGTCAGATCTGGTCCTTCTTACTTTAAGGTTCGTTTGGTACTCTGTCCTCTCCTGGTCATTTTCTGTTGTTTACTTTCCTTTATGCTTCCTTTGTCTTTTCCTACTCAATATTTATTGCTTTATTTGCCGTCACCTTCAGTGTTGGTGGTTCATTATCGTTATATTTAGTAAATAGGGATCGAAAGTAGTCTGCCCATGTTTCATTAGTTTGGTCTTTTCTTTGTCTTCTGATCATTCTTCATCTTTCTCTCTGTTTTCCGAGGAAGTCGTGTTGCATCTGTTTTAATAAGCTCTGCCAATGTTCCCTTTTTGTTTGTCTAACTAAAGTATTCGTTTCATTTCTGACTCGTTTATAGTAGTTGTATACCTGTTACATTTGTTGTGTTCTGTATTGTAGAGAAGCTTTTTTCTTTTCTTTCCATCGTTTCTTCACTTCCTCTCTAAACCATGGGGTTTTCTTTTTTGGTATGTGAGTGATCGTCACTTTACTCTCTCCAACTGATTCTGTTGCTATGTTATTTATATTATATTTGAGTTTTTCCACTAAAATTTATTTCAACCATCAAAGAACCTAATTGACCTTGTTTAGAACATTAAAAGAGGCTAACATGACATCCCACAGGTTACCATAAATTTCATGCCTTTGAGAATTATGAAATGCTTCGGTACTGACTTGGCTATTTTACGTTAAAAAAGTAAACATTTTTCAAGTTGAATTAACTACCCTACTTCTGTATGTCTCATTGAAAGTGAAGTGATGAATTCTTCCAGGGTGTTCAGATTTTTTTAAATATAATTACAGTATGGTTGCGTTACTCCAAACTCAAGGTCGTCCAAACGACGCGGTAGTTCAAATGGGCTCGTGCGACTCCCCCCTGCCTCCTCCACGATTATATCGACATGAATCGACATGAAGTAACATGACAAACATCGGTTTTTACTTTCCTTGTCTACCTACATATTATTTAGTTCTGTTAGTGCTTTCGTATCACGATGGCTCCACGTAAACACTTGACTTTGACTATCGAACAAAACACCAAAATTCTCAAGTTGATACAGCAAGGAACTAGCTACAGTTTCATTTCAAAACAGTTCGGTATAGGCAAATGTATCATTACGAACATTAAGAAGAACATAAAAAAGATCGTAAAGTTCGTCAGCGAAACGGAAAGCGGTCCAGGGGTGACGAAAACTATCAAACCCCACGATTATCAGAAGGTAGAAAGTGCGTTGCTCGTGTGATTCTTAGAACAGCGAGAAAGCATGTTCCGGTGAGTGGTGAAATGTTGTGTGAAAAAGCCCGTCATTTTCATCGTGAAATGTCACCAAATCACCAAGCTTTTAGCATATGTAAGGGTTGGTTGGACAACTTCAAACTACGTCATGGAGTTAGACGTTAGTTAGGAAATTACTGGTGAGAAACTTTCGAGTAATGCCGACGACATCGAACCCTTCCGAACTGCACTTGAAGAAGTTGTGATTAAAAACAATTGGACACCTGAGCAAATTTACAATGCAGATGAAAGTGGGTTATTTTGGCGCATTTTACCAGACCACATATTGGTGTCATCTCAAGAAAAGAACGATCCTGGTCGAAAAATTATGAAAGAAAGAATCATCATTATGCCTTGTGCAAATGCTTCAAGGACTTACAAAGACTTTGCTTATTGTGGGGACATCTAACAAGCCTAGTGTATTCAAATCTGTTGATCTTCCCGTATGGTATCGAGGGCAAAAAAGTGCATGGTGACAAGAGATTTGTTCTTGGATTGGTTCAAAACTGAATTCGACCTGATGTTCGTAGTCATCTTTCGTGTGAACCTCCCTCAGGAGGTAGTGTTGCTACTGGATAACTACCCTGGTCATCCATCCGCTAATGAACTTCGTAGTAAAGATGGTAAAATTTCTGCCATGTTCTAACCACCCAACACGACAGCTATGATTCAACCAATGGATCAGAATGTCGTCCAGAACACAAAACTATACTATCGAAAAGCTTTACTCTCCAACATTCTTGCTGACGAGTCAAGGTGAAACGAATCTGGTTGTAGCTTTGAAGAAAGTTAATCTCAAGGACATCACTTTTAATTTGGCAAATTGTTGGTCATCCACTTCACACATTTCTTGGAAAAACTTGAGCCTAAACTTAGTGGCTGTTGACGACTCTTCATCCAACGAAAAAGACATAATTTTAAGTCCCCTTATCACTCAGCTAGCTCAAGACAACATCAAGGCATCAGGTCGCTGCGGCAAAGAAATTGACACCCAAGAAATTCTCACGGATGAAGGAAACGGAAGAGGAGGATGTCGATGATGAACCACGTACTTTAAAAACTTCTGCTGCTGAAGCTGTTAAAACCGTGAACACGGCCATCAGTAGGGCAGCCAGTAAGACAACCACAACAGCAGCAAGAAGATCATAATCTGAGCGAAAACGACAGAACGTTTGATCAGAACGTCGAGACTGGCGTCCAGAAACAAAATTACAGATTTTTTTACTGCTCCGTTTACAATTTATATGTAGTTACTGTATACTGTATACTATACTGTATACTGTAATTACAAATTATAACTGTGAATAAATGACGAGAATTAGCTGGCTTTTACTCATACTGTTATCTGTAGAAAGAATATAGACCCACCTTTTGAAATATTGATATACTCGTTGTAGGCAGAAGAATTGGTCGCCGCACGTCATGATGTTAAGGGATGCACGGTGCCGAGGATTGATAGGAGAACTTAAACGATACACTCGATGTTTTCAGTATGATGTCTCGGTAGCTAGTGTTGTCTTAAAATGGTCAAAAACGCTCTAGCCATACTTAGGTAGTCTATGGGACAAGTGCTCTCCCATAAATCAACCCTATTGTAGGACGCTTCTGAATAGCCACAATTCAATGGTTGATGACGATACAATAATAACAAATGAGCAAGCCAGTTTAACAATACGATTTTATTAATAACAGGAACCAATATATTTTAAAGCAAATAAGTTAGAATATAACATTAAACTAGATCATATTAATTGATTATTACTACATACTTTCCCAAACATATATTGTATATATATATATATATATATATATATATATATATATATATATATATATATATATATATATATATTTGTATAATACAATATTTTATTAATATACATAAACCATTTTCAGTCATTTTCATTGTGTTTTTGCAGTTTTTCTTCTCCCAATAAATAAGTTATAGGTACCTAATCCGAACGATGTGATTATCCGAACAACCCGTTTCCCCGATGCTGTTAGGATTAACTCGACCGAACTGTATTCTTTAAACAAATATTTCTTCAATTCGTTGGATCACTCTGTATGTTTTTGGTTTGTCGTTTTTATTCCAACATATCATTAATAAACGCGAAAATTATATAGTTACATTAAATATTTGGAGAAATATATATCCGTGATAACACTTGAAATATTTACGACATCGATCTGGATCCGCGACTCTACGTTTTTGAATAGAAATGATTGATCATGTTTATGTTTCTGATGTTTGTTATTTTTAAACTCATAAATCTGGGCTACAGGGTGAGTCACTACGTTGGCTAGCTTACTTATTTAGTAGAAAAGAAACATTACAATGGTGAATTATTAATTTAAAATCTTATTAATTTTTGTGATAAATATTTTTTGATCTTATTAATTTAAAAAATAAAATCGACTCAAATAGAGTGCAAATCTTTATCATTTTGTAAAATGGTTATACATCATCATTTTTTCGACCTTTTCTAGTTGAATATTCCTCAGAATCTATTTATATAAAAGGCTACGATGACAAGTCACACCGGTTGACCATTAAACTAAAGACGCCATCTAGGAAAAAAATCTAAAGTACCACCATTTGACATTTCA